GCTTGGGTCAGGCACACCTTAGTCCTCAAAGTAACATTCTTGATCTTCAGTACTCTAAAGAGGTTTTTTGCAGCACATTTACCTAATGCAATAGGTCTTGACCTCTTGACTTATGCTCTCTTGAGCATTGATTGTGGATCCAAGCAAGAAAAAAATCCTTGACAACTTCACCCTTTTCTCAATTTATCATGATGTTACCTATTATAATAGGTCCAGTTGTGAGGATTGTGGTTGTGTTAGTCTTGGTTGACTAGAGAAACAAATTCATAGATACTCATATGTGTATAAGAAAGAGCTTTATATAAAGAGTAGTTGTATATTAAGAAAACATAGTCCACATCAAGTCCATAAGTCTGATATTAACCCATATGTCCCATACCAGTCTATGAAGTCCTCTTCAGACTCACGCAACACATACAATGATGCCAGCCAAATGCAGGAAGATCACAGGCCAGTGGGTGGAAAGTCTTGTGGATCCACTGGCAGTGGAAGCATCTCATTGCTGGTATCGGTCTCCATGTGCCTCCTCCAGCTCCAGGGCTCTGGCTCCATCAGCACCTAACTCCATATAGCTTGTCATCAGGAATGTCAAGCAGAGAGGGTGTGTTCTGCCTCCAGGGAGGAAGTCAGGTGTTCCCAGAATCCTCAGGAGAAGGCCATGCTCACACAGAAGCCTCGCTGACTATGACCTGGTTAACAGGCTAGACTCCACCCCTTCGCAAGTTGACAGGAGATTATGTAACTGCCACAGTGTTCTTCCTTACATTGAGTTGTAATCCATACTAAAGGCTGCAGTCCTTGATCTTCATCAGCAAGATCTTCAATTTCTCCTTCCAGCAAGCAAGGTTGTGTCATCTACCTATCTCAGGTTAATAAGCCTTCCTCCAAACCCAATGCCACATTCTTCTTCATAAAATCCAGCTTCTCTGATGATTTGCTTACCATACAAATTGAACAAATATGTTGAGAATATACTATCCTGATTTTAACCATGCAGTATTCCCTTGTTCTATTCACACAACTGCCTCTTGATCCAGGTTCCTCATGAACACAATGAAGTGAGGTATTGCTGAGTTGTATAGAATTTCTGTTCCCAGTTGTTGGAAGTAGTGCTGTATCATTTTCCATGATGCCTGTACAAATGTATACTCCCACCAGTTGTGTATGAAGATACTAATCTCTCCACATCCTCCCCAGCATTTGTTGTTTTTCTGTTTTGTTTTTCATTTGGCTGTCATTGTCAGTGTAACGTGGTATCTCATCGTGAGTTTGATTTGCATCTCTCGGATGGCTAGTGATCATGAGCATTTTTCATACATTTGTTGGCCTTTTGGATGTCAGCTCTGGCGAACTGCCTTATTCATGTCATTTGCCCACATTTTAATTGGGCTATTCATCTTTCTTATTGAGGTGTTGCCATTTTATATAGATTTTAGAGATGAATCCCTTGTCCACTGTATTGCTGCCAAGAGTTGTTTCCCACTCTGCCTCTCTTTTCCCCTTTTGATGCACATAAGTGTCTTATTTGTGGTAAACCTCAGTCATCTGTTTTGTCTTCTGTGTGTGTCCTTCTTTATATCTTACATAATGAAAGGCCCTGAACTGTGTACCTGTTTTCTCATGGATGGTCCTTATGAGTTTACGTATAGGTCTTTGCTCCATCTTGAGTTCATTTTTTAATATGGGCTGAGGTATGAGTCTTGTTTTATTCTTCTGCAGATGGAGATCCAATTTTGCCAGCACTGTTTGAAGACACGACCTCTTTCCTATGTAATATTTTTGGCCCTTTGTCAACGATCAGTTTTCTGAAGGTGGATAGATTTTATTTCCAGGTTCTTCATTCTGTTCCACTGGTCTAGGTATCTACCATTGTGCCAGTACCAGGCTGTTTTTAACTACTGTGGCTGTGAATAGGTTTTGAGGTCGGGTAGTGTGAGACTTCCCATTTTGTACTTCTTCAGGAGATTTTTGCTTCTCCTAGGTCTCTTCGCTCTCCATATAAAGTTCTCACTTCAGTTTTCTATTTCTTTAAAGTAGTGGTTCTCAACCTTCCTAATGCCATGACCCTTTAATACAGTTTCTCTTGTGGTGAAGCCCCAACACCACCCAACGATAAAATTATTTTCGTTGCTACTTCATAACTGTAATTTTGCTACTGTTATGAGTTGGGCGACCCCTGTGAAAGGGTCATTTGACACAAACACACACACACACCCCCAACGGGGTTGAGACCCACAGGTTGAGATCCGCTGCTTTAAAGAATGAAGCTGGGATCTGGGTCAGAATTGTGCTGTATTTATAGATTGGTTTGGGTAGTATTGACATTTTCACAATATTAAGTTTTCATGTCCATGAACATGGAATATTCTCCCACGGAGGTACCATATAGACTCATGAATAAACCAAGAGTTGTTTTTGTTTTGTTTTTGAAGAACAATTTTCATTTTATTTCCTTTCAGGTTTGTTTTTCTTCAGCTTCTGATCTTTACATACATAGGCTTTGGAAGAGGTCGTGGGGCAGCACCTGCAAGTCTAAATTGAGGTGGGGGGGTTCAGTCCTTCCGGGCCTCACGTGACCAGTTCCTACCACCTTGCTGTGAAGGCACAACTCACGCAGTAATGCAGCTTCACATACAGCTTAGGAAGCACGTAGGCGTCGAAGACACTCGCTTCGGAAATGTCTCCACGGCCGCAGCCTCCACTATGTTCCTTATGATGAACTTCTTAATGGCCTTGGCTTTGGGCACACAGCGGGCGCAGTTTGTGCAGGGACCGTTGTTACGCCTTTTCTTTTCATCTCGGAAGCAAGGACACGAGAGAAAAGATCGACTGAGTTTTTCAGCACATTTTTAATGCAGTTTTTGTGGTAAAATTAGGTGTCTCGGCTTATACTCGAGTATATAAGGTAGGTCTCTTGGTTTCTTGTAGTAGAGTTCTTTGTTATCTCTGGCTGGGTTTAGTTTGAATATTTCATCCTTTGCTTGGCTATTATAAATGGCATTGTTTTCTTGATTTCTTTTTCAGAGAGCTCTTCCTTAGAGGAATCCAATTGATTTTTGTATGTTAATTTTGTATCCTGCCACACTGTCGAATCTTTTTATTGTTTCCAACAAATTTTTTGTCAAGTCTTTGGAAAGCCAGGTCTCTTTTTATAGATGAGTTGTTTATAGAAACTCAGGAAATGGCTCTGGCCGGCTAGACCTATCCTCTCCCACCCACTGGTCTCCCTAGGACACAGGCAGGCCCCCTTGATCTACAAGGTTAGCCATCCATTTTGTATTCTCTCCATAAGAACAGACTTTCTGGGCCAGTTGGGGAAATGGGCTCCACAAGATAAAGAGGGTCTGGACAGTGCGGGCGGAACGATGTGATCGCCTCCCTGGGGGACGGACCACAGAAAAGTGGGTGAAGGGAGACATCGGACAGAGCAAGATATGGCAAAATAATAATTTATAAATTATCAAGGGCTGAGGGAGGGGGAAGCAGGGAGGGAGAGGAAAAAATGAGGACCTGATGCCTGGGGCTTAAGTGGAGAGCAAATACTTTGAGAATGATGAGGGCAATGAATGTACAAATGTGCTTTACACATTGATGTATGCATGGATTGTGATAAGAGTCGTATGAGCCCCTAATAAAATGATTTAAAAAAAAAAAGATAAAGAGGGCCTGTCCAAGGTTTCATGTCCAATTCTCTCATCTGCCTTTGGCACTGAACATCTTAGCACTGGAAAACCACTGCCCTTCTCACTGGGGAGACAGTAAACTAGCAAGGGAGAAAATACAGCGTAGGTTGCTGATGATCAGTGTTTTAGAAAACAGATGAGGTGGGCTTGGGGAGCAGTGGTAAGTACCAGAGGGGGGGCTGCTGTTTCCATGGGGAATGGAGAGTTTCGGATGGTCTGTCTCAGAAGAGGCAGTGTGAGAAGAGGGTCAGAAAGGTGAGGGATTGAGCCAGGAAGATAATCCGAGAAGAACATTGTAGACAAAAGGACAGTGACTGTCAAGGTGGGAGCATGTTCAGAGAACAGCCAAGAAGCCAAGGTGGCTGGATTATAATCAGTTAACGGTAGGAGAAGGGCCTGTTCCCGGTCTCGTGGGAGGCTGATCACAGATGGTCTTGTGGGCCATCCAGAGGATGCTGGCTTGCTCACTGGGATGGAGCCAGTAGAGGGTTTTGAGCAGAAGAGTGACATGATCTGACTGAGTTTAGAGGCTCCCTCTGACTTCTATGTTGAAACAGGCTAGAGAGGCAAGGATAGAAGAAGGGAAGTTGATCACAAGACAGGTAGCACTGAGGACCAAGTGGTAACTGTGGAGGTATCAGCTGTGATCCCATTCTAAGCCTGGCATAAAATGTACTAATAGAGTAGACAGTGGTGTAAGATGTAAAATGGGGTCAAAGAAGACTCCAAATAAATCTTTTGATCCAGCAGCTAAAAGCTAGAATCCCCTGGGGAAAGGGATAAAAGCCTTGGGAGAGCAGCGGCTGGGTTGGGGGGGCGTCATGAACAGAAATGAAGAGACCACATTGGATCTGTGCATTTGAAATTTGGAAGGAGCCTCTAGGCCCGAGTATTTGACTTGTACAGAGGTTCCTGGTGCTCTGCCACGCCCTCCTTATCCCCACCCCCATTGTCTTTACTGTTGTTCTCTGAGGTGATACGGAAAGGAAAACTGAAAGAAAATGGAGACCAAGGCAAGAACTTCTAGCTGCTTAGAAAACAGACCGTGTGACTGAGTCCCACCCTCAGAGCCCCGCCATCACCTGCAGGCTTGCTTTCTTGCCCAGTGAAGAGGAGCAGAGGGACTCTGGAGTGCAGACAGGCTGTGCACACTCCAGGGCCTCTCAGTCACACCCAGTAGCCCTACCAAGGGCTTCTTTGGGTTTTCCTTCCCCCCCGTGCTCACTCCCCCGCAACAGCTTGTCCCCCTTTCTCACTCCTGCAACCCCAATCTCCATCTAACACCTCTCCCCCACCCCACTTCTTTTTTTCTTCCAGCTATACAGATGTTATTGATGTTGTCCAGGCCCTGCAGACCCATCCAGACTCAAATGTCAAGTCCTCCTTCGCCATTGGTGCCATCACGGTGTGTGTGGAGCCTCTGAGCTGCTACATGGAGCACAGGTAATATTTAGGACCGCCTCAGGCCGTCAGGATGGGTGTTGAGGTGTACAGAAAGTGAGTTTTTTTCCACCCACCAGGAAGAAGTACACATCTTTAGAGTGTGGTTTGTCTTAGGAGCACATCAGTAGATCTTACATATAGTAAATGGTCACTTATTCTTCCATTAGTGCAAGGTTCTCAAACAACAACAACATTTGGCCTGGCAGCTTCTCATCAGCTCTCTCTGTGCACTGAGGAGTTGTCCATCTGGAAGTGGGGCTTGAACTGGATTCTCCCGGAAGGAAAGGTCTGCCTTATGGTTGTCTTTCCTTTTTACTATAAGGGAGAGAGCTGTGTCCCGAGCACGGTCTTTGAAGTATCACAGTGTAACTGCATTTGGATGGATTAGTTCAGTATAATCATTCTGTTGTGTGGTTGAACATAATTGCCTTGGCCATTTTCCCACCTCCATCAGTCATAAAGGATATCTCTAGTTTTTCACTATCATAAATAATGCTGGGGAAAACATAGTTCCTCTAACAATTTTTGCAAATTTTAGATTCTTTCCTTAGACTAGATTCCTCCAAAGAATATTAATCAGATTGTTTCATCAACTTTATTGCTCATCACTCACAGTCCCAAATTGTTTTTTTGAATGGGTTTCACGGTTTACCCTGCCCTGTAGAGGCAGTGGCTGTTTCACCATCCAAGAACTCACTGGGCAACATGTCAGCTATTGTGTTGTCCCTTCGTAAAGCTGTTTGTCTTCCTCTCCCTTTAGCCCCCTGGAATGTACCCAGGTCTGGAATCATGTGTTTTTCTGGCTATTTCGTATCAGTCTCTGCTCCTGAATGCTCTGTCCTTAGACCTTCATCTGAAAAAGCTCCTTCCTCCATGTGCTCCAAGTGCATATCTTTAAGCTCCTGCTGGAAATTACCTTAGAGGCTGCTTCCTTAATTACCTTAGTTGACCCCTAGAAATGTCACCCCTGTTCACCTGTGACTTAGATTTTGCTTCCCCGACCCCCAAATAAGAAAGCCGGGTGGTCTGGTTTCCCTCGTGTGTGAGGTGGTGGAGTGAATGCCGCGCTGACGGCGCCATGTTCTGTTTGAGTGCCATGTTCACTCTTCTGCGCCACTCCTGCATCCGTGTCTCTCCGTCCCCGAGTGTTTTTAAAGATGACTTCTAAAGCAAAAGGTAGTCTCACGTGGCACTACATACTACCAAAGGTACTGTCATTAGAAGGTAGGAAAATAATAAGAAGGAATAGATGAAGATAGAATTATCCGAGACAGGTACTTTTCTACTATGTCCAAAAACGTTTAAGGCAGAGAAACCTTAAAGAGGAAATATAAAAGGGCTGAGGAAATGGCCACAAGTTTCTTTTTGTTTTTCCTCACCCAGCATCCCGTTTCCTCCCTCTCCTTCCCACCCCACCCCAGCCTCCTCATAGTCTTCAGTCTTTTCCCTTGGTGTGCAAAACCCACCCTTGCTGGTCCCTTGTTTCTTTTTCATTTCTTTAAAATAATGGTATCAGGAACTACTTCTCTTTATGAGATGGACTAACTTTCCTGAGCAGCCTGTCCTCCAGTTTTGTCTGTGTCATGAGGTGTTTGACAGACTCCTCGTCGTTTTTAAGGATGCATAATATTCCATTGTGTGTGCCAGAGTTTATCATTTCCTCCACAGGAAGAGTTTTTTCATTATCTCTGTCTTTTTCGCTATTACAGAAATTGACATAAACATGGGTGTGCATCTATCTGTTTGTATTTTATTCTTTATTTCTTCAGGGTATCTACCTAGTTGAGAGATTGCAGGATCATAAGTTATTTATATTCAGATACGTTTAAGGAAGCAGCGATACTGTTTTCCAAAGTGGTTGTACAATTCCCTAACCCCACCAGCACGTATGAATGTTCCAACCTCTCCACATCCTCTCCAGCATTTGTTATTTTCTGTTGTTGTTTTCCTTTTAATTTTGCTCACACTGACAGTATCCCATTATAGTTAATTTTACAGCTAATCGCAACTAATGCTCTTGATTGAGCATTTCAGAGGATCCTTGGATGCCTGGATGTTATCTTTAGCAGATCATCCTCTTGTATCTTGTGCCCATATTTTAATTGGGTTATTTGTGTTTTTCTTATTAAGGTATTGTAGTTTCTTACAGATTTTTTTTAATTAGCCCTTTATCTGATTTATCATTGTCAAATGTTTTTTCCCCCCGATCTGTGGATTTCCTTTTAACTCTTTTGATGTACATAAATGTCTTATTTATTTTTACAAGAGCCCACTCCTTTATTTTGTCTTCTGTAGTGTGAATGTAGGAACCCTTGTGGTATAGTGGTTATGCATCGGACTGGGATCAGTAAGGTCAGGTGTTTGAAACCACAAGCATCTTCACAGGAAAACGACGGGGCTTTCTACTCCCCTAACAAGTCACAGTCACAGAAACTCACAGGGGCAGTTCTACCCTGTCCTGTAGGCTCGCTGTGCGTTGCAGCAACTCAACAGTGAGTTTGGTTTTTTGTTTAGTGTGTGGGTTTTGTTTTGTTTTGTTTCTTTATGTAGCGCATTTGTCCCTTGTATGTTTCTCTCTCCCTCTTTTTTATAATTGATGATCCTTATAGCTCTGGGGTTTACAGGTAGGTCTTTAGTCCATATTGAATTTGCTTTTGTACATGGTATGGGTCTGGTATCATTTCGTGAGGGGTGGGTATCATTCTTTTGCATGTAGAGACCCAGTTTGTTCAGCACTATGTATTGAGTCTCTCTTCCCCATTTAATGTGTTCTAGTCCTTTATCGAAAGTCAGGTATCTGCAGGTGCTTGGCTGTGTTTTTTAGGGTCTCGTCAGTTTTAATCCATTGGTCTTCACGTCTGTCATACCAACTGCTGTGATAATCATGGCTAAACACTACATTTTGATATCTAGGCGTGAAAGGCCAGATGTTGTTGTTGTTTTTTTAAATAGGTTTTTTTTTAAATCATTTTATTGGGGGCTCGTACAACACTTATCGTAATCCATATATCCATCCATTGTTCTAAAGCACATTTCACATTTGTTGCCATCATCCTTTTCAAAACATTTTCTTTCTACTTGAGCCCTTGGTATCAGCT